CACTATTAATGCACGAAAGTTGGCAAACTCTTTGATCATGATTATATCAATTTTTAGTCAGAATTTTCAGATTCAAGTTTTAACACTCACGGGAATAGAAAATTTTCTAAATTCGAAATAATTAAAATTTTAAAAAATATATATGGTTGTTAAATAACTAGCTAATTCCATTTGTCCAATAAAAGAAATATCCTAAATTGAGAAATTAAAAGGATATTCAACTAACATGGACTATGGAGTAATATAATTCATCTCCACCAAAAGATATGTTGTAGTGAATGCTATTGCTTCTCTCATAATTAGTGATCTCGAGTTCAAGTTCTAAATACGAAAAATCTCTTGATAGACTAGCGCTACTTTCTAAAAAAGATCCTACCTAACACACAATCTAAATAAATTAAATTTGAGCGTTAAAATATGAAGAAAAAAACATCTTGTTAAAAATGTTATTCCTAAATAAGCACCACGAGATATCATTCAAATTTAATTGAAGATTCAAATACCGAATAGAAAATAAATATTTATCTTTTAAAAAAAAATAAAAACGTGGAACAATATAGTGGATTAGTGGTCATAAGTATGTGCCCCTCAAAAACAAAATAAGAACCTATCCATACAACTTGCACCATGTAAAACACAACACAAACTTTTCAATCAATGGATCTAAATAAGATAACATTCGATTTACATAACTATCAAGATCAAAATTAACATTCTTTTTAAAATATATTTTTATGTTTTTATATTAATAATGTAATTTATTTGTTGAAACGAGTTTGCTTATTTTATCATTTCAAATCACTACATACGCTTATTATAAATATAAATACTAGTGTTTTAAGCGACCTATTGGCTATTAACATTATTAATGTACGAAAGTCGGCACACTCTAGTTCCATTTGTCTAATAAAAGAATATCCTAGAATTGAGAAAATTAAAAGGATATTCAACTAATAAGAAGTAATATAATTGATGAAGCTTCAAATATATGGACCACCCCAAAGGATGTGTTATAGTAAATGATGGCGCTCCTTTCTTAATTAAAGATTTTAAGTTTAGATTTTCGATACGAAAATTTCTTAACAGGTTAGTGTTACCTTTCGAGAAAAGCTCTAGCTAATATAAATTTAAATTAATTAATTAAACTTTAATACAAATATTAAAACATCGACCGAAAAAACAAGGTCTCAAAGTTGTGGTCAAGCTGGTGCCTGATCCTTTAGGACATGTATTATAGGTCCTAAATATTTTCCTGGTCACATTCCATTGACTTTTCAAAAAATTAAAATGATAAAATATTGACCTCCAAAAAAAATATCTTAGATTGCTCTAAACACAGTGAGGCATATATTAAGGTCTATAAATAGATAATTTAACCTTGCTAAAAAATCAATTAATTATTTTCTTATACTCATAAACTTATATAAAAAAAAATGTCATCATCTAGTTCATCCAAGTTGCAATCTCCAATTAATGGTAAATTTATCACAATTCTCAGCATCGATGGAGGTGGCATTAGAGGATTAATTCCTGCAACTATTCTCGAATATCTTGAATCTCAACTTCAGGTAATCACCTAAATTTTTCTATCCTCATTCAAATATTAACTTATTCAACTGAACTCAATATTTTATTCTGTACGTGTTAATTTCAATAGGAATTGGATGGTAAGGATGCTAGACTCGCAGATTATTTCGATATAATTACAGGAACAAGCACGGGTGGCCTTGTTACCGCTATGCTAACAGCTCCAAACAAAGAGAATCGTCCTCTATTTGCTGCTAAGGATATAAAGCCTTTTTATCTCGAGCATGGTCCTAACATATTCCCACAAAATAATATGTAAATTTCTAATTGATTTTTTTTTCTTTTTCTAAAAATAATTAAGCACTATTAATATTATTATTTTTTAAAATCTTATGATACTGATTGGATCAATAATAAAGGGATGGAAGTTTTTAACGGGACCAAAATATAACGGAAAGTATCTTCATCAAGTCATAGGAGAAATTAGGGGAGACTAAATTGCATGAGACTTTGACTAATGTTGTTATTCCAACTTTTGATATCAAAAATATGCAACCTACAATTTTCTCTACTTTTGAGGTCCCTTTCTCCACTTTTTTGTCTTATCTTTTTTAATCAAAGGTGTCAAATTAGTTTTATCAATTTAATTTGTTTAACAGGCGAAAAAACATTCAATAATGAATGCTAAGCTTTCTGATATATGCATTGGAACATCTGCTGCTCCGACATATCTTCCAGCACATAATTTTCAAACCCAAAACGAAGATGGCAAATTTCATGAGTTCAATCTTATTGATGGTGCTATCGCTGCTAACAATCCGGTATTAAATAGTTTAACCTATTTTATATCACTTTAAAATAACTGAACTTTATCAATTGAATACTATGTTTTTTATTATATTAAAGTTACAAAATCTTACACATAATAATGACAATATTTATTTAACGAAATGACTTTATTGTTATAATAAGTGAAATTTTGTCAAATTAACTCGAAATTTATACGATATAATTTGACTTTTACAGACCTTAATTGCTATAAATGAAGCGACCAAACAAATATTCGAACAAACCCCGTATTTCAAAAATTTCAAGGAAATGAAGCCCACTAATTATGGGAAATTTTTGGTTCTCTCTATTGGGACTGGATCAGCAAAATTGGAACATAAATATGATGCTAAAATTGCATCAAATTGGGGTATTTTTGGATGGCTAACTGGTGGAGGCTCAAATCCAATTATTGATGCATTTGCTGATGCTAGTGATGATATGGTTGATTATCATATTTCTGTTGTTTTCCAATCTGTTCATTCTCAAAAACATTATCTTCGTATTCAGGTACTATTTATTTCACTCTTGAATATTCTATTAAATTTTATTTAAAAAAATGATTTACTTTCATTTTTAGTTTGTTTAAAAAAGAATAATCTTTTTTTGCAACACTTAAATTTCGATTTTTTAATGACATATTTAAGACTACAAGATCAAAGAATTTTTTTAGTACATTTAATAAAACTTTAATTTAGAATCATAAAATTGAAATGTTTCTTTATTTTCTTGAACTCTATATCAATTAAAACTAAATCATTTTTTTCTTAAAACAGAAGGCATGTCAATTAAAACTAAATTACTTTTTTTTAAAAAAGGGAGAGAGTATCAAATGTGCTTGATCAGAAATAATAAAGACCAAAATCAAAATTTGTTATTAACATTTGAGGGGTTAAAAGTGCTAATTTCAATTGTTTCTAAATATTTGGAAGAAAAAAAAACAAATTCAAGAAAGAGATAAATGTTACTTGAGGGTAAAGCATTTTTCTTGAAAAAAAAACAAATTCATTTTCACAATTTAATTTTGAGACGTACGAAATATTTATTACTTTTATCGAAGTGTTAGATGTTACTAAAGTATATTGTTCAACAATTTTAATTAGGATGATACATTAAGTGGAGCAGACTCCACTGTTGACATATCAACCAAAGAGAACATGAACAAATTGGTTGAAATTGGCACAAATTTATTGAAGAAACCAGTTTCAAGGGTAAATCTACAAACAGGCCTATTTGAACAATTAAACAAAGATGGTGGCACAAATGAAGAAGCTTTGAAAGAGTAATATTATTCAACTCTCTTGTCAATATTATTTATATATTACTTATTCATATATTGAATTGAACCTATTGTTTTTTGTCAGGTTTGCAAAGTTGCTTTCTGAAGAAAAAAAAATCAGAAATTTCAAATCATCTCCTACCGATGAATCGTAGAGGCAAAATTGTGATTTGGTATTATATGAATCCAAGATTTTATGATTTTGGAATAGTATTTTGTAATTCAATTTCTGTCTTCTAGCTTTTGATTGTTGGACCAATGTAATAATATTCAATTGTGTGTTATGAAAAAAATAATTAATACAGGGATGTCGAATTTTTTTTTAAAAAAAGATAATTTGATTCTTGAAAGTAAAAATTCATTATCTCAATTATTTGTTATATTACTTGAGAATAATGCATGTAAAAAGATGTAATTTTAATTTATTTAATGTCTTTATTCAATGTATTTGATCTCTTATTCTTATTTTTTTTAAAAAAAGAAAAGACAACCTAGTAAAAAGGGAGAAAGAGGAAACATTTTAATATATTATGAGAAGAAAAAGATTATAATTAAAATGTAAATAATAACTATTTATCACCATAAATCACCTTATCTAAATAATTCTCTCTTTCAAAAATAAATATTTAGTACATTTTTATTATGAATATTTAATTTCTTTAAAAATATCATCATATTTTTACTTCATTCTTAATTAAAATACGAAGCCTTAAGAGTTGAGGATACAAGGCCCGAAGTCATTGTTTCAATAGCTTTAATTTATCATTGAGTTAGTATCGGTTAAAATCATTTCAATCGTAACGATAGTACCTCAAATTCAAATCCATTTGAGTTACTGTATAAGTTTTTACTATACAATTTACTAATTAAATAATATTAGTTAATCAAAAAATTAAAATTATCTCATTCTAGAACTTCTCTACAACTACAACTTCTGTCAGTATAAATCTGAAATCACTACCTAATAATTTATATATCTTAAGTAAATTAGTGATGCTTTCTTATTGATAAATTTCAAAATATAATGTTTCGAAGGAATGTTTATTCTTTCTTCAAATACATTGCGTGGATAAATGTATTCAGCAAAACTGTTTGTCTACTCTATTAAATTTCATAAAAATAGATACTTAAAAACTTTTTATCTATAACTTTATTGAAAATTATATTTTAGTACAATTAATTAAGAATATACCTATAGAGGGCGTAAATGTAGAATTTCTATAAAACAATGGTACAAGTATCCGATTTTAAAATATAGGGGTGTAATCTTTATTGCGTCAAAATATGGGGTATTTTTTGTAGTTATACAAAGTATAGGGGTCTCAGCGCAATAAGTATTTTAGAGTATTTAAATTCCCAACTTCTCCTCTGAGATCAAAGAAATTTACAGTCGCAGTAGTCTTGTTCTCAAAGAAATCCAAAAAGCAAAGCAAAACAAAACCCAATCGGAGAGTATGTCTGGAATGGAAAGATTGCAGCGGATGTTCGCCGGAGCTGGCGGCGCGTTGGGCCACCCGCCACCGGACTCTCCAACTCTGGACTCTTCTGAGCAAGTCTACATCTCTTCTCTTGCCCTCCTAAAGATGCTTAAACACGGTAACTTAGGGTTTTCCCCCCCCAACTATATTCGTTCTTTATACACTTGTTATCCGGATCTAGCTGCATATATATACTTATCCGTGTTATTGCATTTAGCTATACATGTGTGAAGAAATTCTATAATTGAGATTTAGCTTTAGCGAGCCTGTGGAGTTCAAATTTTAGATTAGTTTCTCTCTCTGAGTGTAGGTGTTGTAATTAGGGTTTTTTTGTGATGTTAATGTGCAGGGAGGGCTGGAGTTCCTATGGAGGTGATGGGATTGATGTTAGGGGATTTCGTCGATGAGTATACAGTGCGTGTAGTTGATGTGTTTGCAATGCCTCAGAGTGGTACTGGTGTGAGTGTTGAAGCTGTTGATCATGTTTTTCAAACCAATATGCTTGACATGCTCAAGCAAACTGGGAGGTAATCACTGTTTTCTATTGGTATCATACAGGATTAGTTGTAATTAAAGGTTCTTCCTTTACTGGGTAATATTTCTTTCCCCTATGGTTCCATCATATGTTTATAATTGCATAAAAAATTGAAAAGTGAAATATGTTTTCCAGGTATATTAATTTGGGTAAATTTGGGGGCTTTGAACATTTTCCTTGTGTTTCTTTGGTATGACACTGTAAAAGGGATGCTTGACTGCGAATTAGAGAACTGAGCCTTTTCATGTTTTCTGTTCAACTTTTGATGAGGTTAAACTTTATATGGAAGGTTTCAATTTCTGGCTGCTGTTTGAACTATTTCCTTAATAAATGGGATTATGGGAATATGATAGTGTTTGGCACCTAAATTGGAATGTTGTGACTTGTGAGATAGTATTCGTCTATGTTGCAAATTTGTATGATTTGAAAAGAAAACTTTGTTTGCATTTCATTATGTTTTACAATTTCAGAGTCACTGCACTTTTAGACTGGTTTAACCCCTAAGTGTTCACGGAAGAGTTATGGCTCTTATCCATAAAAGTAGCTAAATATATACAAGACAAGATATTATGGATCTGCTGGTTGAATCTTTATGTCTACGCTAAAGTGAGCCGTATTTGTTTGTTTAAAGAATATCTTTTGATCTTCATTTTTGCCTGGATAGATAATTTGGTGAGGTCTGTGTCAACATAAGAACCAACTTTTATATGTGATCTTCGAGATAGAGTGGTAACTTTATTTGTGGATTCTTCTCTTTGAGCTTTGTGGTAAAGATCCTGGTGTATTTGATGAGAATGTAGTGGTCAGGCTTTTATCTTAATCAATTTCGGCTAGAGGATGATTGTTTGGAATAAGGTTCCTTGAGCTTTTGTTAAACCAAACTTCAAAGCTTTTATTAAAATCCACCTTCAGAACTGCTGGCATCACAATGTTGAGGGGATGTTGTATAAGAATTTAGGCATGGCGAATTAGCAGGTAAGTGATAAGAAGATTAAGATTATCATGTACAATCTGGGAGTTGTCCGCGGTAATTATAAAACCTGGTAAATGATGGGAAACTAAATCAGTTTATATGGCTTGCAACATGAGATAGAAGATTAAGATATTTCGTGAAGCTATTCCTCATACTCATCTTCTAGTTGTGTAATGTGTTGTTTTCTATCGGTTGGGCTGTCCTTTATGTTGTAATGTAGCCTAATCAACTTGTGTACTTATGTGTTTTGATACTGAGGATGTGCTCTCAAATGCCACTTTGCCTTTATCTTACAGACCTGAGATGGTTGTTGGTTGGTATCACTCACATCCTGGATTTGGCTGCTGGCTTTCTGGTGTTGACATCAATACACAGCAGGTTATTCTTGTCCTTTTCCATTTCGATGGTTAGCTGGTTCCTAATGATGTTTGAAATTTTCTATGTGAATCATGAGCCACTGAGTAAGAATAGTTCATGATACTGTGTTAGTCCTTTTGTAGTTATTCCAATCTTCCCGAGTTAAATGATTTTCTTTGATTAATATGGAATTGAGAAAAAACTTTATAAAAATAATGGAATTAAGAAACACAAGATTGAATTTTTTTGCAATATGAAATTTGACTAATGTGGTGAAATGTGACATGGTAATACCATGCAAAGCTGTACTATTTGTTATCCCACCTTTTTGAAATGGTGGAGATCAGTAGTTTTTCATAAGGAGAAGGGTTACGTTCCTGGAGCCTGTATAGAAGTATTGGGAAGTGCTTTGTGAAGATCTTATGCACTTTCATCCTTTGAATTAAGTGCTGAATTGGAACAGTTTCTTTTAATTTTTAAAATGCATTCCTCCTTATAGTTAGACACTTGTAGTTGTTTCGTACAATGACCAAATAAGTTAAGATCGCGATACTATCCAGGTACAGAGTGTTATAGATGGGGTAGTGCCTAGTACTGTGTTTGGTAAAGAAAAGGCAGAGTGAGAGGAAGGGTGGGAGGGAGAGGTTGATTTAGTTCCTTGGGTGAATCTTATATCGTGATGTTTTTATAGTAACAGCTTACATATGAACTGTCCATAACTCTCACCTCTACCTTATCACCAGATAAGGGAGAGAATTCTCACGTCCCTTTACCAGTCCTTGCACTTACTGTTTCCACCTTGATTGAACATAGTGGTTCCTGAAATCATTTCATGCCTTTTTTATTTGCATATTGATCCTTATATAAACAAATTTAGGGAAAATTTTCCGACAAGGATGAGATTAAGGGGCAGGGATGAGAAGAAGAGAGAGTGTGTGTTAGAGTTAATTAGAAGATGTTGAAAGCTGCCCTGATCAGTTGTCTTCCGTCTCCACTCCCCACTTGCTAGTGAGCTTTTTTTCCCGCTTCTCGGGATAAATTTAGCTTTTCATGAGAATGAGATCACATTGTTATTCTTACACACACACACCAAAAATAAATAAATAAGACCACACTGATATGTTTGTCTTTTGCATTCTAGAGCTGTAATTCGTTTGGATCTCCATATGATAATTCTGCTCTCTATGATATAAAATACGAAGTCTGATTAGCAAGATAAATGTTGAACACTCTTTATGATAGACAATCCTCTGGACAGACTATTATAGCATTCTGTAGTGATTAACATATGAGAATTATAGAAATGTATTGAAGCAAAACAAAATTCTGTCTGCAACAAAAATTAGAAAGATAAGAAAATAAAAACTTGTGGCGAAGAGATGTCTCCCATCTCTCCCTCCCTTCTAGATAACAGATAAAGGGGATAGTAAGAAATAGAGTGAATAGTTCATACAACTTCACACTCTTGAGTCTTTAGTTGTCGAATGTTCAATTGCATTTTGATATAAGCAGATGAGCACACGAACCTATCAGAATGTCGATTTGGTGTGTTTGGCATGGTGTCTTCATGTGAAGTACGCCAATAACTAGTGAATGTTCTATTTGACATGGTCTTCATGTGAAGTATGCCAGTTACTAGTGATTTGACATGGTCTTCAAATCAAGTAAGGTAATAATTAATGAATGTTCTATTGTGCAGAGTTTTGAAGCACTGAATCAACGAGCAGTGGCTGTGGTGGTGGATCCTATTCAGAGTGTTAAAGGGAAGGTGGTAATTGATGCCTTTCGCTTGATCAATCCCCAAACTATGATGCTTGGCCAAGAGCCACGTCAGACAACATCAAATCTGGGACATCTGAACAAACCATCTATTCAAGTAAGTGCCATGATTAATCTTTATATTGTCTTCGAAAGATGTTACTCACTCTCCTCCCGACCCCCCCACACCCAGTCTTAGTGTATGAGCGAGACCTCCTATTGTACTTCCTGATATTCAGCCGTCCGCTGGTGGTGATACTTCTAAGTGGAATATCTTCTACATGACTTCCACAAGTTATTTAGTAAAATAAAGTTTGCTAGTTTTACCAAGTCTAGTTAGTTCATATTTTCCAATTTAAACCTGGTTTCCAATAACCAATCTTCAGCTTCTCTTATATGTCCAATTGTGTTCTGCGCAAACTTTGTTGATGGAGTACTTTCAGTTTCAATTTCTATTTCGGGTTCTAATAGATGCATCTTGCAGGCATTGATCCATGGTTTGAACAGACACTACTACTCAATAGCCATAAACTACAGAAAGAATGAACTTGAAGAGAAGATGCTACTGAATCTTCACAAGAAGAAATGGACAGATGGACTTGCACTCCAGCGTTTTGATGCTCATTCCAAAACCAATGAGCAGACAGTTCAGGTAATCTTTGTGTTTGCGTGGTATTGAATACAACTGCATTGTTACATCAAATGCCATCTTTTGATGATTATAAGTTCATATGATTGCTAATATATTTTTTCATCTCTGCCTCTCCCCCGGAGAGAAACGAAAGAAGAAAACTAGGAAATATTGTCCTTGACATGTGTGGTGACATTTTCAAATATTGTCATGTGCAGGAGATGTTAAATCTTGCTGGCAAGTATAATAAAGCAGTGCAGCAAGAGGATGAGTTGACCCCAGAAAAGCTAGCTATTGCAAATGTAGGAAGGCAAGATGCAAAGAAGCATCTTGAAGAACATGTCTCTGATTTGATGTCTTCAAACATTGTCCAGACATTGGGAACCATGCTCGACACTGTTATCTTCTGAAGTTCATTTATCCCATGTCTGCAAAAGTTGTGTTTTTAGTAGTAAAATAGGAACAATTCTTTTTGCTGTTTTTCTTTTAAATGAGACCTAGTACTTCGTTTTACTCTGTCATAGTAGCTCTTATACTATATAACGTTACGTTATTTTAAGATGACTTTTCGGAAATAATAGTCTGTACCATTTTCCTAATTCAGTGCCTGTCTATTTCGACACCATTTAAGTGAAGGAGATATACGTTACTCCGTTGGTATTTGTTATCTTTCACTAGCACAGGTTTTAAAATGTTCAACAAGGTCATTAGTCGCAAATTTCTGAATATTATAAAAGATTCATATCTTATTTGAATTACTCAAATTGCCTATAAACAAATATACAAGAATCCCCCACATTGGACTTTTCTACCTTATGAATATGTATAGGTAATAGGCCAACCAGAAAGAAAAATACTTTTATCTCTGTATGCCTTTTGACTTAACAAACTTATGAATCATCGAGTATAATCAAGGCGCAAATGAAAGCGATGGAATTTATTTATTATTGCAGTATACACAATTTTTTCATGAAAACAACAGCCTAAAGCACTTTACCGATTACACGAAACAATCACTTTTCATTAATAAAAGTAGCCCAAGATTTGACCAAATCAAGTGCTTTTTCACTATTAGGATTAAATATATGAAAAACATGATCTTCCCCTTTAGTTTCAAAGATTTCAACTTTTCCTTTCCACTGACTCTTCATCAAAGATTCATAGTACAATATTCCTCTGTCTCTCAGTATATCCAATTCTGCTACACAAACAAGAACTCTGTCACAGGCCAATTCTTCAAGATTTGGTGCTTCATCAACAAAAGGATTGATCAAAGGATCATTATTCCCTTTATTTGATGGACAAACAAATTCCCACCATTTATCTACCATTGATTTTCTCAATGAATCTTTAATCTCTATCCCAATTGGCTCTTCTCCCCAAAAATATGGACTAATCATAACCATCCCACTAAGCTTCATCCCTAAATCCTCTTTTGCTCTTATTGCCATGAAGTGTGAAATATTAGCACCTGCACAACGTTTTATTTCACGTATGGTCAATCAACTTTATTCTATATAACAAGTATGATACATAAACCTATCTTTTATACCATAAAAATGACTCATGTACACGAGGAATTTAAATTTCTTGACCAAAATAATAAAAATAACGATTATAAGTGGTCTACGAAACTAATTAAACTCTTACCTGCACTGTCCCCTGCCAAGAACACATTATCAAAGTCAACAAACTCATTCAACCAAACATCACTCCCCTGTTCTAATTTATGTTGAGCCACCCATTGAAGAACAAACCAAGAATCATCATAAGCTGTTGGAAGAGGATGTTCTGGAGCTAATCTATAATCAACTGAGACAAGAACAACATTAGCACAAGACACAAACACATTAAGAGAATCATGGTACTTAGGATCACCAACAGAGGATATACAAAATGCTCCACCATGAAAATATACAACTAAAGGAAGTTTTTTCGATTTTGTTATCGAATTTGGTCGATAAATTCTGGCAGAAATGCCTGATTTTGGATCTACCATAACATCTTTGGATGTAACATTAGTCTGAGAATCATAGGTTGCTGGTGTGAATTCAGTACCTACAAGTCTTTTGATTGTTCCATTTTTGTACACTTGTAGATATGGAAAAACATCATGCACAATTTCATTGGATGTGTCCATTTTCTTTTGTTTTGGTTGAAAAAAAAACAATGGGAAGGAAGGAAGAAAAGAGTGGTGTTATACAAAAGCAAAAGACACCATTGATGGGTGGTTTTTATGTAGTGTGATTGTGTCCATGACATATTATTAAGTGGGGTCCATATTAACGATAAGTATTTTTTCATTTATGATTAATAATTTGATATTTGAATTTTGTGTATGAACTTGTTATTTGTCAATAACATTTAATTGCTGAGTGAGAGTATTTAATATAAATTTAAATTATTCTCATATTATTTATTTTCGAATCGCATATTATAACTTATTCGGGAGTGACACTCCCCAATCAATAATTTATTCATCATAGAGAATGGTGTATGATTGAAGTAGACATGCTTAATTTTCATTATTTTTCTTGTTCTTGTTTATCTACCAATAATGAATCATCCCACACAAAAATAGGAGTGAAATTAATCGTGCAATTTGATAGAATTCATTTGATTCTAATTATATTTATTTTTAAAATTCGAAAGAGAAAATTAACTATAATTTATAATTTCATAGTTTAAAATCTTTTTCGTTTTTAGAAAAAAAATTATTTTCTAAATCTCAACGACCAGAGATTATGACATTTGAAAATAAATATTCTATTTTTTAATTCAATGTCTTAACTTCAAAGGAATGATTTCATAAACCCATTGATTGTTGGGGTCAATAGATAACTATTTTAATTTTATAAAAATGTGCACATTTAGAGACACGTACTCTTAATTATAAAATTTTTGTTTTAATGGAAAAATTATCTGTACCACATGATTACGCAATATGGCATTTGTTAGCTATCAAATATTGCTCTGATAAAATAAAAAATATTTAGATTATTTCATCATAATTTTTTTTTAATGGAAATGAATATTTGATGGCAGAGAATTAGAGAAGTCTCATTCGATGAACAATGAAAACATTCTAAAGAGAGAATAAATAAGAAAATATCACTTGTACACATCATATGTTATTGGTATAAATGAATATAGTTATTAATTAGTAAAATTATTCACCACTCGCGTAAAAATATAAATTTATAAAATAATATTTAAAATCTATATTATCTTATACGAAAGATAATACAATAATAAAATATTAATAATGTAAAAATATTAATAATGTAAAGAAAAATGATAATTATAGTTATGCTCTTTAAATTCACATTGGGAAGAAAAATGTTTTACAAAAAATTTAATAAACAATAATATGTGTAATTAATTAATTTTATTAAAATAATAATAGTAATAATAACAAGGAGAATTTGTATTTTTGCTGGAAACCTAAATCCCATTTAGCAAAGAAGAAACCAGAAAGTTAACAGAGAAATGGAGAAAATGGTGCTGATGCGATCTTTGTATCGATCGATATGCCGCAGATCTACGGTCTTCTCCGCCACTGCAGCCGCCACAACCTCCGCCGTCAACCACCAGTCCCTCCGCCACCTCCATTTCTCACCCCAGTCTTTCTCAGCTTCTCCGAGAAACGCTATTACTGGTACTAGCATCGTCTTCCTTTTTTATTTGGGCATTCTCAAATCTGCTTACACTTGTAGAATATGTTATCGGATTATGTTATTCAGCTCAATTTGGTTAATGGGTATCCGTTTTTTTATGGGAAGATTTTGAATCGGTGATTCTGCTTTCAGTATGATGTATATATTGTCGGGGTATTTTCAATCAATCCATCATATAAGTACCAAAGCTCCAAACTTTGATGGTATTGGACCAATGGTTTTCTTTTTATGGTACACATGAATGGTATTTTGGACTGTTAGTTGAGGGTCAATTAGAAACAGTCTCTCTACTTCTGAGGTAGTGCCATAGTGGTGAGGTCTATGTGCGCTCTATACACCTCAGTCACCACTTTGTGGGACTATACCGGGTATGTAGTTGTTGACTTGTTGTACATGAATAGTATTCGATAAGTGGGAGATATGGTGAACCTATTTTAAAGAAATCCTAATTTGACTTGAGAAAGAATTTAGTATTGAAATGAAATTGGTCCAAATTCGAATAGAGTTGAATGAGAATAAAAGATTCATATATAGGGGGTTTGAAGGTTCATTTCTCTTTTCTTCACTTGAATGTTCAATTCTCCAGCCTTAATTTATCAAAGGTTTAGCTTTACAGTACTTTTTAGCTTACGCATCCTTTAGCTCTCTTTAGTATTTATAATTCTGCTTTTTCATTTCTGATTGTGGAATCATTAGGTTATTCTTGCGTACATGGATGCTGTTTGCGTATATGGGATGATAAAAATAGGTGCAATTTTTTTTAGTGGCATTAGATTCCTTAAGTTAATAAAATTCTGAACATAATCCTCATCCAACAAACAAAACCTTTGCTGGCACACTTATATTATGGTGTCCAATTACTACCAATTAGGTCGTTCTGTGAAAGTTGGAGTTTTATGGGAGGTGAATCAAAGCGAGAAGCTTCTTAATCACCTTACCCACAAAGTGCTTGTAGTTTCCTGTTCTTTATATTAATTTCATGATCTTGCATCAGCAATTTGACATTACATGGATATTCTTTAACTTTAGAATGTCAGCATCCTTTTACAATGGCAATGGGAAGCATGCGTTCTTTCAGTGAGGATGTAACTCACATGCCTAATATAGAAGATTCGGAGGTCAAACGCGCTTTTAAAGACTTGATGGCTGCAAGCTGGGATGAGCTCCCAGATCCTGTCGTCTATGATGCAAAGAATGCACTGTCCAAAACTACTGATGACAAGGCTGGCCAGGAAGCTTTGGCGAATGTTTTCCGTGCTGCTGAGGCAGTTGAGGAGTTCACTGGGATTCTTACATCTCTGAAAATGGAAATCGATGATGCTATCGGTTTAAGTGGTGAAGTAAGTTGACTAAATGAAATAAAGGTTGGCATACAGTTTCTCAAGTTCTTGCTGTTTAAATTACTCATATTGCTGGCAGGATGTGAAGCCTTTGTCAAAAGAATTCTCTGATGCACTGCATACAATATTTCAACGCTACAACTCATACCTGAGTGCTTTTGGGCCAGATGAGGAATATTTGAGGAAGAAGGTTGAGATGGAGCTGGGGACTAGGATGATACACTTAAAGATGCGATGCAGTGGCCTCGATGCTGCATGGGGAAAGGTACATCTAATTGAAGCTAGTTGGTTGCGTGAATTTCTGATTTTCTGTAGGTTACGACTTCTTAAGTATATAGGCTAGTTTTTCATGATTCTTTTTTTGTTCCTTTAATATAAGCATTCATGTCCTCAATATTCTCATCCATTAATTTGTATACTAGAAACGTTCCCAACTTTCTAATTCTGCAGGTAATTTTAGAATTCATTTTACAAAATGTTTCCTGAAGATTTTTGTTGCATTTTCAAAATAATAATCTCAGATATCTTGATGGATGAACTTGTTACCATTATTTGTTTTCTCACTGCTTTATCGGCCTTTTTCTGATACCAGGTTACGGTACTTGGGACTTCTGGACTTGCTGGTTCTTATGTTGAGCAAAGAGCATAGGCCTTCCATCATGGCAGAAAAACCACCATGTTTTTGTCTTCAATCACTTGGAAAACTGTTGTTTTTTTTAGATAATACAGGTTGCTCCAATATGATAACATTATGTTGTACTTGATTCTCAAGTTTGATCATGTGATTACCACAACAGGCAAATGATAATAATCCTAAAAACTTGTGCAAGGAAATCCTTTCTTGAATATTCAGAAAGCTCTAATCTTTGTTTCTTCAATTGTTGTGTGCTTTTACATCAAATTCTCTGGATAGTTGATGAATTATCAGCTTTGCTTCTTTTAAGTTGGCTTGCTTATTTTACGCTAAGCTTAATTCGAGTGACATGAACAGTTAGGATTCATATAGCCAGCCCAACTAGCTTGGGGTTGAGGCACTTTAATTGTTGCTTGTTTACCGAACATGGTTATACCTCGTGTTACTGAAACAAAGAACCTGCATCCATGCCGAAAAATGGAAGATGAATTGACACAGATTCTGAAGCATGCTAAGCATAAAAATGGTTATAACCATTGTCAAGAAACATAGTGAATACATGAAAAACAAAAATCAACATCCTTTCTGAAAAAAAGTAAAGAAAAATCCCTTCTGATTCTTCTGAATGCCAGAAATTAGTGTATATTGATCATTCTAGCACTCTTTCTCCATGACCAAGAATCAGCTGGAGATTTTGGCAAAGGAGGAAGTAACAACATTTTACGGCTTAAACCAAATGGCCATCCTTCACAGTGAGAGAATTCCTTAATAACAGAACGCCTCGGAATATCTTGAAACTCAATCCTGTTCAAGCTTGAAGACCTGGAAAATGCTGTCTTAGCTGTAGCAAATGCCTCATAGCTGATAGCACTGGAGCATCGCGAAAGACGAGTCCCAACAGATAAGAACTCCTCCCTCTCTTCCTTATCTTCTTCATCTGCACTGTCCTCTTTTTGCTGCATTAGCTTTTCAGATATGAATAAATCCCCTGCTGCTGTTGTAGATAATGTCCAGTTGAACTTTTCACTGGAGAATATAGCTGCTTTTTTCCTGCATTTTGACTCCATGTATCTACTTATCACTATTGACACAAACACCTGTCGATAAAAATCACAATAACATGAATATATCGCAAGTACATTGATCTTAAAAGAAACTCTTAAGATTATAAAATTAGTGTTAGTACTTCCTCTTCATCATCTATGACATCCTCTTCCTCTAAACTTTGAGTACTAGAATGTCTTTCTTTAAAAATATGACAATTAGCAAATGCGTCCCTCAGAGTTGTAGAGAAGAATTTGCATCTCTTAGAAGGATTTGTTGATACTTCTTGGTTAGAAGAGAACAACACCATGTTTGGAGAAAAAACACTCAAATTCTTTGAGTGTTATAGGTGAAAAGAGAACTAAATACTTGTAGTTTTCTTTTCTTTATTGAAATTCTTGGATGAAAGTGGCCTTCTATCTTCTATTAACTTTTCTTTAAGGGGGTTTTAATCTTTAAGGTGAAGACAACAATAAAAAAGCCAACCAAGGAGTTTTCAAGAAATTAACTGATAAGCTATAGTTTAGAGCTTAATTATGAATATGTGTAGATCCAAAATGTATGTTCTGTAAATTATTGTAACTATAGTTAAGTTTCGTAAATACAGTCTAAATGTTTGCCACGTCATGTAATTTTTCCTTGTATATATCTTGTTTGTTGTTACTATTTCGTGGTAAAGTAATGCTTCTATATTTGGGGCTATTATTTTTCACTTAAACCTGAAGTTAAGGGTGAAGAGGACACTGCACCAAACAAAGAGCATTTACAAATGTTTATTACCCTTGTATGATTATTTTGGTATAAGAGATTAATCATTTTGATAATGAATAAGACATGTCTTCACCACAATGTGCTCTAATAACATTGCATGAGATGTTGGTGCACTATTCTTTTTCTCATTTCATAAACTTAACCACGAGATCAAAAAGACTACAAGTTTTTGAACACACTAAAGGCAAATACCATATCAAAATGAAGGAATATGAATAAGTTTATAACGCGTATATGATGGCGTAACATAAAAAAAGAATTAGACGAAAGTATATAATACTTGTCGTGAGATTGTTTTGTGACAGAATAAAGTCATACCGGAGGAAAGTTGAAATAGTTGTGGAGGAATAACTTGCAGCTATAAAAGGTGAAAATGATTTCATCAACAAGAATATCTTTTGGAATAATATTTCAATTTACCAAACACTCTTTCCTTTTCAGGATATTCACCTAATGATTTTGTTTTTTTAAAAAAAAGTTGTACCTTTTGAAGCATAATTAATACCATAAGTTAGTTTAGAATATTTATAATGGAATTTCACCATTAATGAAAAAAATAAGCTCATAGTCAGTCTACAAAATAGACCTTATTGATCCATAAAGCATGTTATACTTTAACAAAACTCAACTCAACTCAACCAACCTAGTAGAGGTGAAAGACACGTATCATGTTATCCATGATTTGGTGTAAACCTCCGGTGTACGAGTTCCAAGATAATAAATGATTCAAAGAGACAATTTACATCAAGAAAGCCCAAAAAATTAGTTCATCAAAAGACCCTAGATAGATTATAATTGACCAAAAAAGTTGCTAAGATCCACTTTTGACATAAACTGAAAACTCAAATTAACAATTACAATGTCAAAAAATGTTATGTCCTAAGCACTGGACTTCCTTAGGGATACCAGGACCGCACTAATCACCGTGTAATACATAAAAAAAAACTGGTTCTATTTGGTACAAATTCTATTTTCTTGTAAAACAACAAGAACAGAAGCAGTATTCTCATAGAATCTGCAAATCAAGTAAACTGATCCGAGTTTTCTTGCCTCAATGTCGAACTATCACAACATCTTCAAATCGTGGAAGCACCAAGATCCCAAGGCTTATCGTCTATTTTGTTAGTGATAAATTATACACTAACAACACCAGACATCCACGGAACAATTACTGGTGCATTTGGGTGAGCGTTTCTGTATGATTCAGGATAACGGTCCTTAAAATTCAATTTAGGATTCTCTGCCTGCATTTGCAAATGAAAAGGGGGGGAGAGGGGATTGAGAGCAGCTTATTATGGTAAATATCAAATTTACAAGACAAGAATGGAAGGTAGTAAACTTTGTGAAGGGAATGGCGGAACTTACATATTTCAGCCAGCACTCCTGATGCTTGTGTTGATAAATATCCGGAGAGTGGCATCCTGTCTCTGATGGGCAGTAAACCCATATGTTACATTTCTTTTGGTTAGGTCCAGCTTGCTTAGCTTGATCCAAACAAGCCATACAACAATCGTATGCAGTTTCTTTGTGATGTGTAAGGCCCCATCTGACAGCATCGCCACCATAATCAGTATGAACTTCAGCATGACACTGAAGAGGAAGCTGCTTGCCAGCTATGACTTCGTAGTCTGGAGAATATAAATTACTGAATAAGAATCTATAGACAGGTTCTTCTCCTGAGTTTGTTATTTCTCTTGAGCAAATTTGCAATAAAGAGGACATAAAATCTTGATTGGTCAAGTTTTAAGCATGCACAATTTTTATCGAAGAGACTGTTCTTTTATGCCAAAAGGGGGCAAAAGACAAATGATATAACAATAATAACATAATCGCTCGCAAAAGAATTCTCTTCTCCCTCACAACTGGGAGATATGAGAAGCTGAATGATTAATCTGCACTATTTCAAAAAACCTTAAAAGGATTTGAACCGAGAAATTGACAATGTCATTACCAAGTTCCTCTTCACCCTCAGGTTTGTCGTCGTGTTCCGTATTGACGATCTGAACAGGTATCCAGAGACCAATTTCTTCTGCCAGTTCAGCCCAGTTGTCGCTCAAAGCTCGTGAAAGTAATCCTGCAAGCAATGTCACAAAAACTTATCATCTGTTTTTGGAAGTTCCTCTGAACTAGGGATGCAAGATTTCCTGCAACATAAACAGAAAACTGAAAATACAAAATGTGAACAGAAATACTATTTAGAACATACTAGCCTCCTTTAGGGAAATAGTTGAATTTGATGTCTTCTCATGAATAAGTTCTGTGGTTTCTTTCAATTTTTCTCTCCGCCAACTTTCCACCGCATCTGTTCCAACAAAAACACCATCAACAATGATAACGCGGAATTGTAAATGAACTAGAGCAGAATGTATACATAGAATGAATATATCAAATAGACTAGTTGTTCTCATAACAGCAGAACTCTTTAAGGAAAAAAATAGTAATAAGTTTTATTACACTGGTACCCTTATGCCTTATCCATATAAAAAAGTTTCAGTGGCTACTTCGGTCTTTACATACACATGTATTTCTACTGTCAACCATCAAATTAAGTGCCATTTAAGTAAACCATCTAATTGATGAGGTGAAGAATATCCCTCTGACTGTCTGCGTTTGGGCATGAAATGTAGATGAGCTTCCAAGAAAGACCTGAATCTTCCTTAAGGCAGTAAAATCAACGAGGGAGCTTTAGGAACCAAATGGTTCAAGAGTTGAGAAGATATGAAGGACGGAAGAAGCAGCACATAGTACCTGTCAAAGGGAACATTCCTCCATACTTCATGTGTTTGTTTCCCATCTCACCTTCAGTGACTAATAAGAACCAGTATTTTTTCAGTCTAAAAAAGAGAGAGTTGGAGGATTTAATCGAGGTGGAAATTTTCATTGAGTAAACTGAGGGAGATCAAAGCCCCTGTTAACAATAGTGGGATAGGTATGTGAAGATTGTCTATGTTTAACAGAGCACTATCAGGGAAATGGTACAGAGGTTCATGAATTAGGAGAAGGCTCTGTGGATGGAAGTGACTAATAAAACTACGGCTGCACCCATTACAGATGGTTCTCAATAGAGCGGGATTATTGTTGACGTACAAGCTTATGGAAAGGAATCATGAGGAGAAAGGATGACTCAAGATATTTTCAATTGATTTCCAGAAATGGGAGACATGGTCCATTCTGCTTAACATTTACTGTGGTGATACCGTTCACAAAGGCGAGTTCCTTCACCTCTCCTCCATTGCAAATACAAAGGAAACCACAAATTTGGAGATTATTAATTGGAACTGAGGGTAGAAAGAGTCCTCCACAAGCTATATAACTTTACACAATGCAAGGAAGTAGATAAGATTGTATTTAGAAGAGATTTTCACCAAAATTCTTCTTGAAGTCTTATTACAATCTATTAGCTTAGGATGTCTTATGGAGATTTTAAGCACCCAGGAAATTGTTGCTCTTCACATGGGTATGCAACAAAGGGATGTATGTGTTGTTTCTTTCTTTTTGGATAACATCAGTGTTCAGGACAATTTGCGCAAACCTCCACAATACGAACTACGTGTATCCTCCTACTAGTATGGTTACAAGGTAACTATGTCCACAAAACCTAAGCAAATAGAAAGAAATCACCTAAACATTTTGACTATGTTGCAATTTGTACCCTAGTCCCAAAGTCTGCAATAAAGGGAACTATAACCAACAATTCAAGACGTAAAGGCATGATTGTTTAGTTGGTGACGCATGTGAAAAAGTAACAACTACCCTAACTTTAGAAGTCATCATATTCTCCAGAGGTATTTCCTCAAAAGCTCAACCAGTGGCGGAGGTAATAAGAATTTGGAGTCAGAATGAAGGAAGCTAGAAATGCTTGAAATATATTGAAAACCAGGTTAAAAAGTACATCTCTGAATTGAATTCACATGTACTTGAGCATATATTATGCATAATAGGGACAAGACTGAACAGGATAAATACCAGTCCAAGAGGGAACGGATCAAACTTACAAGATATCCATTCTACTAGAAGATCCATATAGATCTCAGATTAGAAATAATTGAAAATCCAAGATACATGAGGTTCAAAATAAGTTGTGAATATGTAAAATAAGTACTCCAAAAAGTAGAAGAAAGAGGTAACAATCAGTTAAGCATGCAAGCAAAAGTACCATCAGAGAGCAACGAAACTCACTACATTGTACCATGGGAAGAGAACTGTTATTTAACGTCTCAATATTTTAGCAATGTTACTTGTACAAACGGATAAAATCAGAGACAATGGTATTGGGAACGGGCAAAATGTCCAATAGATATATCAGAAATTGAACAAATTTTTGAGGTTTGATTCACATGGTAAAATTGAATACAAATTTGGCAATTCAACTTCAAGGAAAGAAAAACGTCTTTATGGGTGGTGGATGGCCTACCCTTTTAATGCAGAAATTAAATATTATAAATACTTTTTATACTAAGTGCCTCGCACTTGTTTCTATAACCATTGACTGACGCAAACAAGAACAGCATTCTGATGAACAAAAAAATTTTCCTAGCAACATCCTCACCTATTTAAGCAAAAAAATGATACTAGAAATACTGGCTAGGAGAGCATATGTAAGACGAAGCAATCACAAGTGTAAGCCTCTTATAGGAGTTCCCACGTGTAGGTTTATTCCAGCTCACTCATAATATATCTTTAACAGATACTTGTCACCCTAATCATTAACATGAGATTTCATGATATATGCTAATTACAAATGATATTGTATTAAATAATGAAACTAGTGACGGAATCAACTAAAGTTGGAAGTATAGAGAAACACATTAAGAGAAAACAGATTAAGGATAAGTACAAGTGAGATGCGATATGTGCTGCAAGTTAAGCCTCCATAACAAGAAGGTGAGGTGAAATTAGATGAAATTATGGTGCCTAAATGTATATCTAAGCTTAATCTTCAATGAGATTTAGCACGATAGATGAAGATTTAACAAATAATCAAAATAAGATAGTTGGAATGGAAGAGTTCCACGAGGGTGCTACGCGACAGGAAGATAACTATTTAAGTAAATGCACGTTCTACAGATGACTGGATGTAATAACAAGGAGTGGTTCTTTTAGATGTTCAATTATGTATTTTAGTCCAAGGGGAAAAAGACCTCCCTACTTTCTACTTGTTGCACTTCTCTCATGCAAGCAAACTAGATCAAGGAAAAGTTTTTAGAGTTTTATGTTCCTTTCATTTGCTCTCCTTTATTTCTGCACTCAAGGTTAAATTCAATGAACAGAAACAGTACATGAGCACAAATCCTGAATCAATATATATGGAAATTATCTCTCTTCCGGTCTCTTGCATCAGCAATAGATTTATTTATTCTCCTCATTTACAAAGAGTTATGCAGCTTGGTTTTGTTGTTTTACTGATGAGCTGAAATTATGAAGTAATTTGGGTCCACATTTGAAGATGCTATGAGTATATAAAAGCAGAAAGTTTCAATGAAATGATTAGTACATCAATGGAGAGAGGGAAAGGAAAACAGATGTCAGTCATATCCCAAAGGAACAAAGGAATAACATCTTGAGATACGATTGGTTCATAAACTTGCCAGTCTAAGAAGGACCAAAAGACAAAAATTCAATTTTTTTATTCATACATAACTTTTCACTTCGGAAAAAAAAAATATTAGCAACTACAGATCCTGCATTTAAAAGACAAGACAGTGAAACCACTTAATGGGGAAGAAGAAAGGAAAAGACAAAATCTGGAGACAAACCAACGCATGAGGACAGAAAAAGCAATGAGAAGCAGAACCGTTCATAACTTTGGAAACTAAATGTCCAGACAAAACAGCATAGACTTGTCTTTTAGGAAGAGAAAAAGAAACAAATCTTGAGCATCTGATCAAAAATAATTTCCTTTCTGCAAAACGAATGAAAACATATAGACCTAAATATCACGATTCCGAAGCTCCGACAACTCCCAATTCGAGGACATAAACATCATATGCATGTGCTAAAGGATATTACTGGCACTAATTTTTCAGCTAATGGTTAAACTAAAAATCCCATGTCAAAGAAAATTTCAACAAATGCCACTGTTTGAAAGTGTTAATGAGTATCAAACCCAAAGTAAAGTGTAACAAGTCTTCCATTCTGACAGTTTTCTTTCCAGAAAGACCAAAACACCTGTTTCAGCTACTGTCATGTGAACTGCCTCTAAGAAAGTTTAATGATTACCCACTCACTGAATTTTGTAAAAGAAAATCTCAGACACTCGACCAGATACAGATAACAATTAGCAACTCGATCGCATTGTAAAATCTCCAGATTGATTTATTAACCTTAACCTACCTTGCACTTAACTTGATTACTAACTGATACAGCTATAGTATAAACAGCCAAGAGATCTTTCCAGATAAAAGCTTTAAGAATGAAGGTGCATAACAAGTATAGCACATTTTGAAGATATTGAAGGCGCAATCACCTCGTAGCATGGTCGCATCTTCATTAGCATTCACGCCTTTTAAAGTTACTAGTATCTCATCTGTTATCTTCTGTTTAATATGTTCCGGTATTTGCTGCACCTTTTCATCCATCGAAAGTTTGTTCTTTAAGAAATTTACCTTCACCAGATAAGAAGCATTCCTCAAGCAAAGTCTATGGAAAAGCAGCAAACTAAGGAACCAAATACCAAAATGTCAAATAAAGGTCTTACCACATTAATAAGTTCTACAGGTTCTAGTTGTTTCCGCAATTGAATTGACTCTTCCATTTTCCTAATCTGCTGTGGGGTATACTTAAAAGCTGTACACACAAAAACACCCTTTCATCAGACTGGCAATCAACATTCCAAATAAACAACAAAACTCTCAATGGGATAATCTGCATATACTTAGAAGCTGTGTCAAAAGCACCGATTTATAAAACAGACGTTAAACATTCAAAGAAAGTAACAAAATCACAAAATGCGCCAACAGAAAATTCAGAATGAATAAAAGGGGTCATCCAAAAATAATCTGAGGTATAGCTAACAAGGACGGAGCTAGATAGGGCAAACATCCTTCGGCAGAAAATTAGATTGTTTATATATGGTTAAAATTATTATATTTTGTACATATAGCAAATGTTTAACCCCTTTGTCTTCTTTACGTGTTAACTTCTTCGTATGTTGAACCCCCTTAGTGAAATTCTGACTTTGATTGCTAAAAGTAGTGGCAAAAGAACCTATTTATCCAAACAAGCATTCAATTTTCTGAGAAACAACAAAGTGCCAAAATGATTCAACAAAAGATTCAGCATCAAGGGGTCATCCAAAAATAACCTGATGTATGTTATGTAGCTAAAAACTATAGTAAAACCACACATCTATCAAACGAGCAATCAACTTTCTGAGAAAGCAACAAAGTCCCAAAATAATTCAACAAAAGATTCACCATCAAGGGGTCATCCAAAAATAACCTGGTGTATGTTATGTAGCTAAAAACTATGGCAAAACCAACATATATATCAAACAACAATCAACTTTCCTCTAAAGCAACAAAATCCCAAATGTGCAAACAAAAAAATTCAGAATCAACACAACGGGTCATCTAAAAACAATCTAGTATATACCTAAAATGCTGAGGTAAAATCCACCCTTTTGTCAAACAAGCATACAACTTTTGAACAAAAACAACAAAATCCCAAATGGGGTAAACAGAAACTTAACAATCAACACAAAGTCCCATCTAAAAACAAACTACTGTATACCTAAAAACTGTGTCAAAATCCACCCTTTATCAACCAAGCACACAACTTTTGAACAAAAGCAACAAAATCCCAAATGGGGTAAACGGAATGTCCATAAATAATAGCAAAAATTACCTTTTTGAGTATCACTGAATGGGTACATATATACAGAAGTATATAGAGAATGAAGCACATAAAGAGCAACAAAAATATTGATTGAACAAATAACAATTGTTGTTCTCTTATATGACATCCAATTCCCTCTTGCCATTTCCACTTTCTTCACCTTCTGCTTCTCCTCCATTTCATCATCTTTAAAACCCACAAATATTTATCAAAAAAAAAATCAAGAAATATGTAGAATGTTTCAGGGGAATTTGTTTCTTGGTTTCTCTACACAGATCAAAGTAGATCGATGGTACCAATATCAAGAATTGTTTTTTTTTCTGTAATTTATTAAATAAAAAAGAGAATAATGGAGATGCAGTAGCAAAGCACTATTATATGAGTATAATAATGGAGATTCTTTTATTATCTCCGGCAGCTGTCGTTAGTGAAATGTTTTATTTTGGGTTTTTGATTCATCTCTGAGTAATTAAGATTAATTAGGGAGTGTTAATTATCGTTTACGTGACGTAACGTGTGATACTACTGCTAAACAAAAATGTCGGGGAAAGTTTTATACTTTTTTGGGGGTTTTACTAAAAATAAAATGACAATAAAATTTGAGTTTCGAATTTCAATTAATGATTATTTGAATATTAAACACTCTCTATCTTCAATTTAAGGTAAGAATGTGTATGTTCTTAGAGAAATTTAGTTTATTTTATTCGGTTTTATTCGATTATTATATTAAAAATAAAATTATTATATTAAAAATATATATTTCATTTTACGTTTTTGATTTTAGAAAATAAAAAAAGTTTTGTTACCTTTTTTTATATTATCCTTGATATATATTAAGATTAATTTAGCAGAAGGCATGTTTAATTAAAATTACGTGAATAGTGTCAGATCAACATAGGTCAAGTAATATAAATTGAAGGAAGTAATCAACTCTCATATCTCCATAACCTCTCACGTGATCAACTCGTATTAAATATATCTATTTTTTTCTTTGTTAGAATATGCCTTGAATTTCTTATTTCATTGATCAAAGATCAAAACGCATTAAATAGGAATACTAGTTTTTTTTATATAAAAAAAAATTAGTTGTCCTTATTTTTTATTTATTCTCGTTCGGATTTTTGTAATTATAAACTTCCTTATTATGTCATGCCTATTTCTAACCCAACATTTAATGATATAAATGACTATTATCTTGTTTAGAACTCTCTTCTAGGGCTGTTTAAAATCGAACCGAAACCGATAAACAAATCAATAAAAAAGTTATTGATTTATATTATTGGGTTATTGGTTTTGTGATTTTAATGAAGATTTTGATTTTTTTTGTTATCGGGTTATCGATTCTTAACGGTGTAAAGTTTTATCTTAACGGGTTAACCAATAATCCGATAGTAAATTAAATAATAATATTTATACCATTTTGTATAGAAAGTCCTCGACTTAGAATTTAATTTCCTACTTTTATTTTTAGTTGTCTCAAATACTTGATTATTCTACAATGTAAAAGTGTTTACTTTTGAGCAAGATATAACTTGTGAATTCAAGTGCATGGTTTATTTGGTAAGTCACCTTGTTTCTAAGTGATTTTTCATGTTTTTTCTTTTGTTTTAAATCTTAACGGTTAAACCGATAACCGAACCGATATTGATCAAAAATCGATAAACCAATATCTTAATGGTTCTATAACGGTTTAGCATCTCTACAAGCCGATAACCAATAAGCCAACTCGATAAACTTTAAAATCGAACCGAACCATCCGATACACAACCCTAATCTCTTTCTGTAATTCTATCTTTATATACACTAATATAAATAGAGACATAAAAAGTGATACGAAAAACATTTGAGAAAATTAAAAAAATTATCATTTTTTATCCCTCTATATCTTTTTTCGACCCTCTTATGTACTATTAGATTAATTTTAGAACAAAATTTAAGTTGCATACAAATCATTTGACACAACACATCTTATTTATATCTAATTTTTATTTTCAAATTTTATGCTCTAGGAATTTTCTTTATCTAACTTCACAATATAAAAAATTATTTACAAGATTTATAAAAGTTAAACTCCTAATGTTTTACCTGTAAAAAGGTTGAAAAAGGCAAAAGTTTTGAATCCATAGGGACACTCAAAAATGTTTGAAAAAAAAAAGTAAAAAGGGGCACTTAAATGTGGAACTTTACTGCTACATAATCATGATTAAAATGTTGGATTAGGTAATGTGCTTTGACTCTTGAGAAAATATTTGTGAACTTTTAGATAATTTTTTCATTTTAATTTAATTGTTTTGTTTTAATTACTATATATATATATAATAAATTATATGGCTAAATAATAAAATTATATGAAAGACATCTATATTGTATTCAATTGCTAGATATAAATATGAATTTTAATTTTATTAAAATATAAGTAACTTTCTCCTATTATAACAAAATAATTTGATTTTTTTTCTATATGTCTTAAATAATGGTATAAAATCATTCGAAATTCGATTTCGTACTTGTTTACTCAATCAGATATTAGTTTTTACTCCATAAGTAATTATTGTTGAATTTTTTACCCAAACAAGTGATATGAAGGCAAATCCATCAACATAAACAAGTGATATGAAGGCAAATCCATCAACATATCTCTTTGGATATCTTTTTACTATTTATATTTGATTAATACTGACCTGCCGGCGTTGCTCGTAACACCTTCCGAATTATTAATACTACCTTCCGTCTTACTATATTTTACCTTCTCTCGATTTTATAAGTAGAATTTTACGGGATATGTTATTGTTATTGTTACGGAGAGAGACAATATCCATCTTTGAGAGAGCTTTGTTGTGCTTAACTGCACCTTCCAACTGTTTGATGAAATGCCTCAACCAAAAAACACATACATGATCATTCAAGGATGATTTGATTCACCAATTGTGGAAGTTAAGCACTCGTATGCATTGATTTTTTGGTGGAGATTGTGTGATGTCTCAGCTCAAAGTTGTCTCATTTATCAGCAAGACTTTGAGTAGGAAATTACATTCCCAAAATTGCATTTTTCATCAAAATATAAGGCGAAATTCAGTAGCATCAACACATATTCATGAACATTGCATAAAATACGTATTTGCTACGAGGGGATCATTAATCTTGAACACAAGTTCAAGATTTTGTCTGCCATCATTCTTGTCCTTTCAGCGGTTTTATTGTGCTGAAAATTCTGCATTTTCGTCGTTGGAGGAAACAACGGAAAGCTGTAGCAATGATCCTGTTGATAACGTTTACAAGGTTGTGGTGGATCATGCTAATCCAGGGCATAAAATGGAGGTAGCTCTGGATAAGCTTGAAATAGAATTAACTACGCCGTTGGTGGTGGAGGTCTTGCGAAAGCTTTGTTATGAAGAGAAGTTAGCATTTAGGTTCTTTACGTGGGCAGGACATCGAGAAAATTATAGTCACGAGTCTCAGGCGTATAATGAGATGATTGATATATTGTCTAGTACAAAATATAAGGTGAAGCAGTTTCGTGTTGTTTGTGATCTTCTAGATTACATGAAGAGAAATGATAAGAGTTTGGTTCCTTTAGAAGTGTTGTTAAAAATTCTTAGACAGTATACTGAAAAGCATTTGACACATCTTCACAAATTTGCTAAGAAGAAGAAGATACGAGTGAAGACACAACCCGAAGTATATGCCTTTAATTTGTTGTTGGATGCTTTGTGCAAGTGTTGTCTTGTTGAGGAAGCTGAGGCTCTGTTTACGCGGGTGAAGAGTAAGGTTAAGCCAACTGCTGATACTTATAACATTCTTTTCTTCGGTTGGTGTCGTGTTAGAAATCCAGGTAGAGCTATGAGCGTTCTTGATCAGATGATCAACATAGGACATAAACCCGATAACTTCACCTATAATACTGCCATTGAGACGTTTTGCAACGCAGGAATGGTAATGCAGGCTGCTGACCTTCTCGAGTTCATGAGAACTAAAGGTTCAACCATGTCTTCTCCCACAGCAAAAACTTATACTATTATGATCGTGGCTCTTGTTCAGAATGATATGATGGTAGAATATTCTAAAGTTCTCGGAGATATGCTAAATAGTGGATGTGTTCCTGATGTTTTGACATACAAGGAATTGATTGAAGGTATGTGTCTGGCTGGAAAGACCGAGGCAGCTTATAAGCTTTTGGAAGAAATGGGAAACAAGGGCTACCCTGCTGATATAGTTACCTACAACTGTTTTCTTAAGGTCCTATGTGACAACAAAGACAGAGACGAAGCGCTTAGGCTTTATCAGAAAATGACGGAGGTAGGCTGTGTTCCCAGCGTACAGACCTATAATATGCTAATTGTAATGTTCTTTAGAATGGGTGATGTCGATGGAGCCTTTGAGACCTGGCACGAGATGTCTAAGAGGGGTTGTACGCGTGTTACAGAAACATATTGTGTGATGATTGAAGGACTTTTTGATAACAATGCTACTGAAGAAGCATGTTTCCTTTTGGAAGAAGCTGTCAACAGGGGTATGAAACTGCCATACCGCAAATTTGACTCATTTTTAATGCGACTTTCAGCCATTGGTGATCTACGAGCCATTCATAAACTGTCAGAGCACATGAGAACATTCTACAACCCAGCTATGGCACGACGTTTTGCCATCAATCAGAGGCAGAAGAGCATGAAATTAAGAGGTAAGTGAAAATGACTTGTGTTGTCTATTTGGCCCAACGTTTGGATGGTGTGTTTCTTTGTATGCATTTTGTTTGTGTCGTTAAACAGATTAATAGAGAGTGACCAGCGGACGTTTTTTATTCTTCACCCGGTCTTTTAGTAGCCTTTGTGAAGTCAACCTAACCGCTTACCGAAGACCACTTGTACCAGATTTGGGATTGAAATCACATTTGGAAAAGATTAACTCATGTATACTAAAAAGGTGAAGATTTTTTACATCTATTAGTGTAAATATTTCTTATTTTTTCAGGATTAGTTAGTTAGAAATTACACAATTATTTAAAACATAATTACTTATCACCACTCCCTTCGTCCCATTTTATACGAGATAGTTTGACTCGATACGGAGTTTAAAAAAAGAAAGAAAAATTGTTAAAACTTGTGGTCTAAAATGAATGAAGTAGAAATTTGTAATGACTATAAGTCATTTTATTAAAGATAAAATTAGACATTTTGATGTTAAATTGTTATTTAAGAGATGTATCATTTCAGGACGGACTAAAAGTAAAAATAAGTTATACAAATTCAGATATGAAAGTATAATAGTTCTTTTATCTCTCCTCACCCACCATTTATTCAGCAAATATTGAAATCAAATACATCCTGAAAATACTCCACAATTTCATTAATTTCATCTTTGCCGATTACTCTTTGTTTCGTATTAATCTCTCTTTAAAATCAAAAGGACATTTTTATTAATTTATGCCATAAAAACCTTTTTAAAAATTAACAATATAAAAAAGAATTATTTGTAAGGCTACTCTGGACAAAACGCTATTGACCCTAATTTGCTATTGTAAATTGATAAGTAATTTAAAACAATTATTTATAATAACGTTGATAACTAATATAAAACCAAGAAAGTACCATGCTTAATACTTTCTTTGAAACAATGATACAAAATCCAAAAAAGGAAGCCGTGTATTTAACTTGTCCACAAATCAAGAAAATCTTATTATTGTCCTTTTACACCATCTTTAATATTAAACAATTGTATAAAATAATAATAATTAAGTTAATAATTTCAAATGATAAAATTATTATAATAAAACACAGGTTCATTTTTTTTTAAGGAATATGTCACAATAGTTGGGGTCGAGAAATATGAAACAGATGGTTTCGTATATACTTGCTATATCTTTAATTATTTGTTTAATTTTTTTTATTTATTATACTTTCAATTAATTATTTTAAAATTTTTAATTCATTCACTTAATAATTATTAAAAATAAAATAATATACTTATTATATTGATCACAATTTTCTTAATAAATATATCAATTCAACAACGAACAAACAATTAAGTACAGAATCAACAATAAAATACATAGAATATGGCAATGTTGATTGAAGAACTAAAAGTGATTAAATAGGAAAGTCTTCGAGACACGTCAAAATTAATCAATGAAATCTTTAAATATACACCATTTAATTGGCTAAAGTCTATTCGTTTACGGCTTGTAAGCTTACTATACTCTCAAACAATCGCAAGAATATATTATTCAATACGATTTGCTACTTCCCATATTTTGTCCTAAAAATTGACATTTCACCGATTATCATTTCTAGCTGTGATGCTAACTCTATAAAAACAACCTATCACTACCTGCCACGTGGATAAAAAGACAAGGGTAGAACAGTACTTTTCAGTTTTTGAATGTGATATCGGAGTAGTCAAAAATAAAAGAGCTTTAAAATAAATCAATGTTGATTGTGGTGTACTGATGCACTGTTTCATTCTTAATCAGAGATTTCAAGTTCGAATTCTATGTATACAGAAATTTTTTGTTATGAGCTTCACCCCATATGAATCCTGCGAAGCACGATTCAAATTTAAGTCTACATTAAGATGATTAAAGATACAACATCTCTCAAATCTTTCCACGTCATTTCTATCATATTTGTTGAATATAATTTTATAAGTAGCTATTTCTTAAAAAACTTATCTAATAAATGTATATTTAATATATTAAATCAAACACTATATCAGAAATGATTTCCTATAACTAATATAAATATCATTAATATCAAGTATCATCATTATTAAACATTATTTTTATGTACTTATCAAACAATCCTCGAAAAAAAGGAAAATAAATTGACATTTTCTTCGTTCATGTTATGTGCCACCTTTTGATTTGATTGGTTATTTAAGATAATTAAATATTTTGTATGACTCAAAATTATTTTATTTAAAATAAAAATAAATATAGTAAAATAATATTCTTTTAGACGAATTAAGAACCTGATTAGTATTACTATGAAAGTTGAGAAGCACTTATGTTGAATTCTTTTTTTAATAATAACAATTAAATATTTCAATCCTTCAAAAAATATATAATATTGATTCAAAATTTGAATATAAATATTTTTATAAATTTAATTTTACTTGTAATAGAGGTTTAAATTAGTTTCTTTTATAATAAACTAATTTTAATATTAAATGAACGTTAAATAATTGTTAATTTGACTTCAACTTTTTCTTTTACAAAAGATTACCAAGTCACTCTTTCGAATGAATTAGTTAAATACAACTTAATTTTTTAAAAAGATTTATATTTTTAAAACAAATAATTTTTAATAATACTATCGAACTTCAACACTCAAAAGATGTCACATAAAATGAAACAGACGGTGACAATATTTAACATTAGAGGGTTCTCAATGATTACAGAAAAAGCCAAAGTGAGAACAAGTATGGCCATGGCTGAACCACCATCATCATCATCATATATATATATAAAGAAACTGCAAAATAACATTATTTTATCACTACATATATCGAGGAAAGAAAAACACCCAAGATAAAAAGATTTCAAATTTTTAGCTTGAATTTCAAAATTTGGGGAAATTTGAGGATGTGGGGTTTTGGGGGAAAGTATTATTGGGGAAGAAAAGAGAGAGGAAAAGTTGAAGGTATAGTGGTGGTGTTCGCATGGTTGTCAAGTAAAGATCGATACGTCAACAACTATGTTGATCTCTACTCATCTCTTGGATGGAAATCCCTTGTTTGTCACTCTCAATTTCGTAATATGTAGGTTCTCTCTTCTCCATTTACCCTTTTTTTTGGTTATAGCTTGACTAATTTGTCACTCCGCCGGGCAACAGGTATCAGATAACTCTATCGATAGTAAAGAAATTGACTAGTATTTTCGGGGGATTTGAATTTGTGACCTTGTGGTTTTCATTTTTCTTTTTTTGGAATTGTTCTATTTGATTTTTTGGGGGTTTCTATTGTTGGAAAAATAGTTCTTTTTTTGTTTTGTTCTTATTGAGTTTGCTAGAATTTGCTTGAATTAGTTGAAAAGTTTGGGTTTTTTTGAATGATACATATAAGTAGTATATAAGAATAAAAAAGGCCATCTTAAATTAATGTAATATTTTTGTGCATGCATATAAATATTTAAGGTTCTCTTGTTATAATTTGGTGTTAAGACTACTAATTTTATTGACATTGTTGGCACAATCAAAAACATATGCAACATAAACAAATGTCTAACCTTATTAACTAAATAAGTTCTTAATTTTATACATAATATGTAATATTATCATGTGAAGTTTGAGAATATAAATAAAAAAAATAAGTAGAGATAAACCTAAATTAATAATCAAATATTTAAGGCCTCTTTGGTGTATTTTATTGAGACGTTCTTGGCAACACAATTTTGTTTTAGAAAAAAAAAAAGAAAGAAGAAAAACATAATATTAATACCTAACTTTTTTTGGCACATACGTTGTATTATCGAATAAGCACACATGAGATCTCTACTTTTATAAACAAAATCTAAAACTGCAAGCTAAATTGATGAACTTATCCATGTTAGGTGATCTCAGTTAATATCGAGAATTGAACTCTGATTTATGGATTTTTATTATAATATTGGTTCAGTATGTTAGCTGCTTCTTTCTCCTGCTGTCCAAATTTTAAAGAAAGAGAACCTGCAGTGCAAATTTATGAGATTGTTACTCATTAATCTTGCAGGTTTTTTCCTGATAAAGCTGCAGCACTGGCAGCAGAGATTGTGAACGAGCTTGTTAAGGTTAGTCCTGTGTGAAAGTTACAATCTCTCTTCTCCCATTGATAAAAGCGGGATTTAATCCATGCTTAGCACACGAAAAAGATCATTGACAGGTTGTGAAAGCTTTATTATATGGATGATCTTATTAAAATCTCATGGACAGTATGAGCTCTCCTCCCATATGATGCATGTCAACTTTAATATGTGTTCTCCTTCAATAATTGAAGATGTGGTAGAAAAGTTCTACAAGATGTCAAAGAACCGAACCACAAAGTCCTTTCTTTTCATTCCAAAGTGAAGTTGAAAGTTTAAACCCGATTTTACTCCTATGAACGGCATGACCTTCTGAATAATTACGTCCCCATGAGAAGCCAATTAGTACAAATTTCAGATGATCTGGAAGTTGAGCCTCTTTGGCTTCTAGGAGAGTGTATTATTCAGGATGAACATATCTCAGAGAGGAGTGGCCCAAAAGCAATCTCCCTAAAGTCGGTGGAAGTCATCACCAACCTTATAACAAACTTGTTTTGAACTCTTTACATTTCTGATTTCTTTCCAAAGTGGGATCACATAAGAAGACCTATGAACTTTAGTGAACCCATTACCTGCTTACATGCCTGATTTGGGAACAGTTAGCCATTTCCATTCTCGAAGACTCTAAGCAGATTTATTTACATATTGCTTGAAAAAATTGACTTAGTTGCATAGCAATGACCCTGCTAAAAAGATATATCGGATTATCTTTTCTGTATATTTATTTTCCCATTTACTCTCAAATGGTTATACAAGCTCAACTATAACTTTTTGTATATTCTATCGAGACCTGAGTAATTTATTTCTCAAATCTCTATGACTAACCTAACAAGAATGAATGACTTTGTTATTATCATATAGAAATTAATAGCCATGTTTCTGTCATGTTATGACTTTCTAATGGCCACTTTGTTTAATGTTGTATGTGTAGGAGCTTAAAGTTAGACCATGCCCTGTTGTCTTTGCATCTTTTTCAGGTGGACCCAAAGCATGCATGTATAAGGTTCTCCAGGTAAAGAACGAATCTTTGAAAAATGTAGTATGATCATTGTTGCCCATATGTATGTCAGTACATACAACAGTTTGAAGTATTTATTTCTTTTCTATTATAGTGTATTCTAGTTGGTGCAACTAATTTCTTTTTTTCTTTTAATTTGATCACAGATAATCGAGGGCAAATATGAAGAACATACCAATCTGGTATACTCCATTATGTTTTTCTCTCACAATGTTTATGTTTTTCTTGTTTGTTACAAAGAGACAAGCTTGGACATCAGTGAAGCGGTTAAATGCCAACTTAATTTCCATTCCATAACATGATTTGTTTTTTCAAATTTTCAAGCTTACTGTACATCTCTATCTAAAAAAGTTCTATATACCAGGAACAACATTAGCATATCATAATCCTCCTCTTCCCTTTTGTCATATTCTGGTTGCTTTATCTTCTAAAAATGTATGATACCTCCGCCACGCCCGCTTCCTAATTGTGATAGTCCATTCCCTTTTTAAAGTGAAGTGATTACACTGTCAGTGATCTCTGATCTGATAATTTGTTTAATATGAAGGGTGAGTTCCGACTTGTTAGAGACTGTCTTTCGGGCTATATTTTCGATTCTTCTCCAGTTGACTTTACTAGTGATCTGGGTACTAAATTTATACTACATCCAAACGTTCTTGGAATGTCACGCCCTCCTCGCCTAGCCTCATGGATAGTAAATGGAATTGCTTCCAGTATGGATGCCCTCTTCCTTAAAAGATTTGAATCACACCGTGCCGAATTTTGGCAGACTCTATATGCTTCTGTTGTGAGTGTCTCTCACCTTTTACTCATTGTGCCCCCCGTCCCCATGTATATTTCTGCTTGGCTTACTAATGTTTTTCTCACAGAGCACGGGAGCTCCGTATCTCATATTGTGCTCAGAAGATGATGATCTTGCTCCTTGCCAAACTATTTGCAATTTTGCTCAGCGACTTAAAGATCTTGGCTCTGATGTCAAACTACTAAAATGGAGTAGCTCCCCTCACGTAGGTATGGGGCTAATCCTGCTAATCCTTTCTTACTTCATGTTCCAGAGGTTTGGTCTGTTGGATATCAATAATTTATAAAACAAATAAAAATCCTAATATTACTATATTTGCTATTTAGATTCCGATAACAACTGTCTGTAGAGGGCCAGAAGTTGGCCTCATGATATGTTATCTTTTTACACCTTAAGAGAAAAAAAATAGAACTTCGGGATGAAAGTCTCTACTAACCATGAATGTTGAGTTTCAAGGAGTTTAGTAGCTCAAGGAAGAGCAAAAGACACAGTTGCAAGAACTGAAGTTGCATATATTCATTCACAAGAATCTTGAACTTCTGTAGTCAAGCCCGCTCTCTTCCCATTCCTCCCAATCCAAAGCAGTCTTATTGACATCTCCCCTCTATATTTTATTGCAATCCACTCTATGTGTCTCTCTCTTGTTTCTGAGATAAAGCATATTGTTTTCTGGAATTGTCAGAGAGATAAACATTTTACTAGGATTTATCTAGTTGGAATTAGCACAAGATAGTACATTCCTGGTTATTATGCATATTCAGGTTTTATAGCTTTTCACAATCATGTGATTTTGATAAAAGTCGTCTATTGTGACTTCCATCAACCAGGTCACTATCGGTACCACCAAAATGAATACAAGGCTGCAGTGGCTGAGCTTCTTGGAAAAGCTGCTATGATATATTCTCAAAGAATTCGTCAGCTTGAAGGGGAGAAGATGGTGTTGGAAGGGTCACATGATGGAATCTCTGAGCCTCTAGGCAATCTTAGAAAAGCCGCTGCTACTGCAAATCAAAGCTTCCAGAGCATTTCCCTTGAGATAAATGACCACTTCTTAGTACCCAACTCTGTGGAGTATCATGAGGGCAGTAATGGCGGGTCAGTTCAGCACGAACAGAAAGAACGATACATTCCCCTATCAACCCCACCAAAAATCAATGCTCATGGTGTTCTTGGTCAAGTTCTATTTGATGTGTGTGTCCCAAAGGTTGTTGAAGACTGGGACATAAGGTCATCGCCAACTTTCAGGAAGGCATCATTTGCATCAACTCGAAGGCATTCACCTTTCAATCCTATGAAATGCATTCGCCGTTCAAGATTGTAGGATTTCCAGTTCATGATCTTAGTGAAGAGAATATCAAGAATACACGGGACATGAGAATGCCATCGAAAAAGAAAATCGAGACTGACTCTGAGGCTTGCTTGTTCATTTTGTTGGCGAAATAAGGACAACTCTCAGGAATCCAGAGGTACATTACTTAAATCGGCTAAATGTAAGCCTAATTTTGGACAGATTTTGCTGCGAAAAAAAGATAAAATTTAACAAAGTGTTAATGTTGTGAAGGTTTCCATCTTCATTTGTTGCATTACTCTGATTGTACAGAATTTCACTTTGCTGATGTAGAATATAAATTTATATTTTTTTGCTTCAAGAATCAGAAGTGATTTCAAACAGTCACAAGGGAGGGTGACTGACTTTACTTTTGAGCTGTATTTACTGTTTAGTCTTTTTGTTTTTTCCGCTACCTGCATTGATCCAGATTTGTACATTGTAAGGATCCATTTTTGAAGATGTCGCTCCTAACAAGATTCTTTCCAAATAATATCGAAAGATTTACCAAATCAAATGAGTCCAAATGAATAAAAATGGACATTAATCCAACAAATGGTTGGTTGACCGTGTGAATTTGCTCATATAGTACTAGGTTCTATATCGGGGTATTGAATAGTGATGAAGATTTACAATAAAATGGGTCCAAATGAATAAAAATGGAAACGAATAGTCAATTGACCGTGTGAATTTGCTCATATCGTAGTTTCATGTTTAAATTGTTGTTGAATAATAACGAAGGTTTATTAAATAAAATGGGTCCAAGTGAATAGAAACGGACATTAATTCAATAAGTTTGAGATTAAGATACAAGTACATCGTACCTCACACAATATATATAACTTCATATAATCGTATTACATTTCTTTTACGATTATAAAATCATGTCATTTTGCGTTTACTTACCAAACACCAAAAATAGGTAAGAAACTTAAAAAAATATTTTCGAATAAAACATGAATGCATAAAGAATTTGAAATCAGTAATTTGGCGGTTTGATTATACATTGCCCAATGAGAAGTTAATTCCGTACACTCATACAGAGGATGTGTTGAGTGGGGTACGTGAGTACTGAAGTGGTATTCCAACGGTCGACTCTGCTCTACTTTCTATAAAAAATGCTCTAAGAATAATTTTACTCTACAAATATTATTCATCTTCCGCTCAAAAATACTTATTTCGAAAATCTTTTGTTTACATCAAATCGAAAACAAAAATGGTGAAATATGAGGATTTGCGGAAGCAGAGATTGGAAGAAAACAAGAAAAGAATGGAAGAACTTAATCTTCCTCTGCTTACTCAAGCTCTAAAAAATTCAACTTCCCCCAAAACTACTCCTGTAATTATTCATCTTCTTTAACCTAAAAAAATAAAAATAAAAATCCTTTCTTTTTTTAGCATTTATCCCAAAAATTTAACTCATTTTTTCTCTATTTTGTTTGTTTATGGCAAATTTATAGATGAAGAGGACAAAACCTCGTGTTGTTGGAACAGAGCTAGTTGCTGTGCGAAGATCACCCCGTGTAGCTAAAAGCCCTGCTCCTGAATACAAAGAAGTACTACATTTTCTCTTTTTGTTTCTTTTTTTCCTTATTTTTTACTAATTTTTCGATGTTTTTTGGAGTGCAGGTGATTCATTATGAAAGAGTGATGATACCAAGAAGGTAAAACTTTCTTTTTGTTGCTAAAGATTTCATTTTTATTAGTATTTTTCTTGAATCCATTGTAGAATGTGAAAATGAAATAATAGCTTACGTTCCTATTTATTTTGTTTAGGTTGGCTACACCAACGAAGAGGGATAGGTTGTTTTTTGCGTATGCTTCTGATGAAGAAAGGGCTGCTTCGATAGAGAAAGCTGAGAAACTTGAAGCAAGTCTTGGATCAGACTATCCTATATTAGTTAGACCAATGCTTCCTTCCCATGTTTCTGGAGGTTTTTGGCTGGTGAGATACTCAGTCATAAGTCTATCTTTGTCTTGAAAGTTGGATTATTTCGTATTGAAATGAAATATATGTAAATAAAATGGAACAATAGAGTGTGTTTAAGTTATAGGCCAAAAGGGGTTAGTTCAATTGACAAATATTGAGGGATTTGTGTTTATAGGTTACTTGTTTGAGTCATATGATAAGAGAAGTAAATGTAGTATTTAAGTGGAGAAGATAGAGGGGTGGATCCATTTATCCCGTGTTTTGGAAGTTGTTGTTCTGAATCAGAAGAAGTTTACAATTAGGAAACTTCAGAATGTACTAAGCTTTGATAAAGTTATTGCCCAATGCCAACATAATGAAGATCATATTGTTGCTATCTTTTTGTATTCTTTTCTGTAGTGATGCAATTTGATCATAGTATTGATTTAGAATGAAATATGAATAGACGGATGTTTAAATAGAGCGATATGTGCAGTGAGGATCCATATTGCAGACCACGACTTGCTTAGGATTGTCCGTAGTAGTAGTAGTAGTTGTAATTGTTGTTGAGTGAAGGCGGACAGTAACTCATTTGCAACTCATGCTGCAGGGTCTCCCATCGAATTTCTGCAGGAAGAACCTTCCAAGAAGAGATGACACTATCACCTTAATCGATGAAACGGGAGAAGAATGGCCAACTGTGTACTTGGCTCAAAAATTTGGACTTAGTGGTGGATGGAAGAGGTTTTCTGTGGATCATGACTTGGCCGATGGAGATACAATCGTGTTCCATTTGATTCGTCCAACAAAATTCAAGGTATGACCCTTCTGAATAAGGATGTTGGAAAGCTTGTAATTGAACACCTTTAGCTCAAATTTCGTATGCAACAACGTTGAGCTGCAACATTGTTTGACAACACACTGTTGACACGAGTGTGATGAAATCTTGATCGATGTATCTTTTCTCTCCTTTGTTGTGTAGGTATATATCATAAGAGTAAACAATGCCAGTGAGACTGTAAGTACTCAAACCTCAACCTCAACCTCAAGCAGTGAAGCCTTTTAAAATTCCAGGTACATATTGCTTCTTATATAGTATGATTGGATTGAAGTTGTGATTTGCATAGAGATGTAAAAGTTGCGACAGTAACATATAATCTCACAAGTGGAGTCTGAGTGAGTCACAATTCTTGATAAATTCATGATTTTTATAATGATCCAACTTGCAATGTTGTGTTATAGTCTGCAGACAACTGTACTAACAGGGTTACAGCTAGTTGTATTATTATATAGCTGGAGACAAAAATGCAAGAAAAACTACAGTACTAAACATGTCAATTCTTATAGAGCACATTAATTATAGATGAAAAATGGGAAACATGATCACACGTATATGTTATTGCTAGCTACTAGAGATTAAACAACACCATATATAAATGTCTTTTTGAGGGCCATTGTCCTTTAAATCCATGTCTATAACAATGTATAACTTTCTTGTTGTCATGATAGGCCACGTTTGTCTCTCTAACAAACAACTCTAATGACTTTTGCAGGAGAAGAGAATGTTGCTGCCACGCGTTGTGTGCTTCTCTGTCTCTTATTTTGTCGAACAACATGTTTTTAGTAGATCTAAACAACAACGACGAGGATGATCTTGATTCTAACAAGTCATTGCTAGATGATTAGTTTAGTTCTTAGTAGAGTAGTAGTAGTAGTACATAAAATCCAAGAATGATAGGTTTGATGTTGCTCATTTTGATGCTCCAAGTTGGACTTGTACTCAAAAATGCCAATTTTAAGTTAGTTATTATGTTTTCACACGCACTTTCTCCATTTGTTTATCATTGCACAACGAAAAATGGTCAGAAATGCTCTTAAACGCGCAATTTTTATTTCAAGGCTATTTTGGTTGGGACATAGAGAAACACAAGGGGCTACTAATTTAGTTGGGAACTCATAAATATATTGGTTGGGAACGTGAGGGCCTAATTTGGTTGTAATCTAATAAATGTGTTTAGTGACAACTTTGTAACTATAGAAACTTTATATGTACCTAAATTTTTACATTAGAATTAAATAATTAAACCATATTATAAATATATATAGTATGGTTGTGAACATGTGGAACCACATTCCACGCGGTTGCAACAGCTAATTAAGTTGTAAGAAGTAACAAATATATGTAACATAATAGGAAAATTAGAATAGAAAAGTATTAAAATATTAAAATAATATTATGACCAAGACAAATCTAGGGTGTGAAATGACTATAGCAGCAAAAAAAAAATATCCAGATAAATTTTCATTATTACTTTACTCTAAACACGGACAATAAATTACATTTTCATAATTAAATATAGTTTGATAAACTTTATTAAAATGAGATAAGTGAAATTGACTGGTAATCCAATTTGACCCACTCTTGCCAAAAAAATAATTAAGACGGTGATTTAATTAGTTTCATTAAATTGAACAATTAATCAAGGATCTATAGATTGTGTACTATTAATTAATTATTCTTGTATATTATTAATGAATATAATATGTACATTTATTCTGTACAACCGCCATGTCGCACGTTTGTTCCAGTTAATATGTTTAGATTATAACGCTTCAAGTTAATAATCCAAATATTCGTGTATTAGTGGTTATTTTTGTATGTTTTAAAGTTATTTTTTGTTTTTATTCGGTATGCTCAATATTAATTTTGGGGCTCCTATTAATTTTTTCGCCTACTTCAATTTCTCTTCTTTTTTTTAAAAAAAAAAATCTAAAATATCGAATAAAAAAAAAGAATATTATCCATCTAATCACGAAAGAAACAAAGATATAACAAAAAGGAAGATAAAAAACCTAAACAGAAATAAAATATGGTGCTAATTGTAATCGACATATCTTGCCATGAAAAATTTAATCAATAAAACACAATTGATTCATTCGGAGGTGACGTTCTTAATGTTTTTTTTTAAGATTTAAATTTAAAACTTCTAATTAAGAATAAAACTAATTCTATCACTCCACGATAACCCATATCAATTAGTTAGATACATTTTTAATTTTTGTAATATAGTTGATAAGTAATCAACAATGAAGTGGTTCCATATTGATCTGTTTCATCTATTATATAGTTTTAATGATGATGATGGTTTAGTTGTTGCATTTATATTGGTTTATAAATTGATTAAAGTTGTTGTAAGTTGCAAATTTTGTGCTTTTTTTTTTCAAATGATGATATACAATTACTTTTTTAAAAAATTGCCATGTCACAACTCAACTCAAAGTTATCATTCATCAAATATATATAATATCCATGCAAATTAATCATAACTCAACGTCTTAAATATACACTCGTATAATTGCTTAGTCAAATAAGCGATAAATAGAATCCTAAACCAAGAAACACATGACAAGAATAAGAATAATCCTTTTTTTAAAAAAAAAATATTTTATGTGTTACAATA